TAATCCTCTACCAAATACGACCTTGGCTGTGCGGCTGAACACAACCTTCACGCCAAGCCAATACATTCAACGGATAATGCAAACTTGTCTAAGTTCTGTATTCTCGCGATTCACTCTATTCTCGAAGCAAGTTGCCTACAAAATCCGACGTATAAGAGAACACTCGTACCAGAGCTCCTAAAGCCGTACGAATCTCGGAAGGTCAACACTTCACAAAGCACCGTAACGAAAAATCGCTTCGTTTCGGGGAAACAACTTACGCGACCTCTCGGTCCTAATTGCTCTAGCACAAATCATAAAACTACCTAACATCCAAACAGGAATGAAAGTTTTAATTGCGAATATCCGCAAACGAACCAAAGTGTTCCTGCAAAGCAAGATTAAGACAAAACCCTCGCAACACCGCACAACATCTTTGAGCCCGCAAACGTTACGAACAAGAAACGCGGCATATAAAAAAAAAACAACTTTCGGCACTGCGAGAAGTCGTAGACGCCCGGAGATTAGTTTTTCGATACAAATACCTTCCTCGATAAAGTCATTTTCTTGGAAGACCTAACAGTCCGTCCACGACTATAAAATTACGCAAAACTTCTTAACCTACGTATCCTTCGCGAAGGCCAAAACAACGTAAACATCTATCACCTAAAAATTTTGTTGCTGATCACAACAAACTCGCAACAGTCCTAAACAAACTTAAGTTATCTCGCAGAGATAGTTCTCGAACACCCGACACAAGGGTAATAGCGCTATAAAAGAAATCCAATCTTTTGGTCAGCACTTCCGGGAAACTTCGAAATTGTTCCCGGTGAGATGCTCGGTTCCAACCAGACGAATCGTATAAGCCGAGAACCTATCGCGGATTCTAAATCGGTATGGAATCAGGTTAAAATTGCAACAGGCAAAACGAAAGCCGACTAGTCATCGCATAGCCTCAATCAGAAGGTAAACCTAGGTCTTGCCCTAAACCCAGCACACTGGTCGCTAACGTCTCAAGGCTTGAATCGAGATCCTAAAGGCATGTCTCTTCGTCTATATCTAAACACTCACTCGATTTACTAATCATCCTAAAACGAGTAAACGAACAAGGCGATACACTAAGGGAAAAAGGAATGCGAGACGACAACTCGCGGACCTCCCTCAATATCAACTCATATTCTTCCCACTACATTCATACGAATAAAAACACGCTCTTAAAAACGCAAACTGATTTTTAATAAAGCCGCAAAAGCGGCAGGGACACAGAGCAGCACACGGCCAGTCCGAAAACTATAACGGCCACGCTCGGCCAGACCAAACAGCCAACAAGGCTAGTCTCAAGGCCGGCAAAGGTCCAGATGCCATCGACAACAATATGCTCGATAATTCCTACACGACATATAACTAGACCGTAAAGGTCTTGCTAGGAAACAGGTCATACGAACCTTAACTCCGAAACGAACTACGAAAGGCTTGATCCCCTTAAAAGGGTACGTAGGAAGCCTTCACAAGGCGCAGCCCTAATCTTAAACGCTTTCCGCTCCCTAGAGAGTGGAAAGCTCACTTTCAATGGACCTTTCCAACCATTAATTCCGCCTAACTTAACTAAAACTGGCTAACCACTCGCACGAACCTTACGCTAAAGGCTCAAGATTCTAGCGAGCTGGGGGGCTAACTGGTGGTGTCAAAATCGGTCACAACAGAATCAATGACAAAAAGTCTCCGCAGAAAATATAAAAGAAATCGTTTTATAAAACTCGAAGAATCGTTTATAAAACTCGAAGAATCATTTTATAAAACTCGAGAATCGTATTATAAAACTCGAAGAATCGTTTTATAAAACTCGAGAATCGTTTTATAAAACTCGAAGAATCGTTTTATAAAACTCGAGAATCGTTTTATAAAACTCAAGAATCGTTTTATAGAACTCAAAGAATCGTTTTATAAAACTCGAGAATCGTTTTATAAAACTCAAAGAATCATTTTATAAAACTCGAGAATCGTTTTATAAAACTCGAAGACCGTTTTATAAAACTCGAGAATCGTTTTATAAAACTCGAAAATCGTTTCATAAAACTCGAGAATCGTTATATAAAACTCGAGAATCTTTTTATAAAACTCGAGAATCGTTTTATAAAACTCGAAGAATCGTTTGAATAAGCAAAAACGAGGAAGACTACTGGTTGTGGATTTGAAAAGTTCCTTTGAATATCTAAGAATTATGGTTTTTGAGGATTTTGGAATTGACCAAAACATTTTCGAGCTTGAGTTAACCTACTTATCTATGGAGTTAATCAGTTCTATAGACTGTCCCCCAGTTATCATTGAGAATGATCGGCAAGTCAAAAAATTTCTAACTTATGTACGTGTAAAAGCTTCAACATGGTTATGTGTGTCTACTTCACCTATCAAGGGAAACAACGATAACATTGAGTTTGATAAGGAGGATTCTAACTCGCGTTTCAGTGAGAAAGGTGAACCTTCCTCGTTTTCACCTCGAGATGATATAGGTAGTTCATCTGAGTCGAGTAAAGATGTTGAAGACAATGGAAACTCGAACGACTGGGAAGAAGATGATGGTGTCGAGTTAATCGGAAAAGAAGACGATAGTGGAAAAAATGTTTGATTTTTTTTTATTGATGTTGCGAAGAGGGGTCAAACGTTTGAAAACAAATCGAAGTTGAAAGCAGCACTGGAAATGTCAGCAATGAAGAATAGCTTCGATTACAAAGTTGTGAAATCAGATACAAACTTTGGTACATTAGATGCATTGAAAACAAGTGTAAGTGGAGTGTTCGTGCTGAGGGGTTATCAGGATCCAGATATTTCATCATCAAAAAATATGTGGCGGATCATACATGTGCTGCGTTAAGTATGAATAACGGTGGTCGGACAGCTTCTGCAAAAACTATTGGGAGTCTAATAATGCATAGGTATGATGGTGTCAAAGAAGGTCCCAAAACTAATGATATCATACAGATTATGAGATTGGATCATGGATGCGAGATATCTAAATCATTAGCTTGGGATGGTCATGAGTATGAAATTAATGTGGTTAGAGGTATTCCCGAGCAGAGCTTTGGAAAAATTCTGAAATACTTGCACATGCTGAAAGAAGTTAATCCAGAAACACACACCGTTTATGAAACCGATGTTGATGGTAAATTCAGATTTCTCTTCGTTTCGTTTGGGCAATCAGTATGAGGTTATCACACCACAATGCGAAAATTTGTTGTTGTTGATGGGACATTTTTGAAGAGCAAATACAAAGGGGTATTACTTGTTGCGACGACTTTAGATGGAAACTCCAACTTGTATCATATTGCATTTGCGGTTTTCGACTCGGAAAATGATCGTTCCTGGGATTGGTTTTCAGACAACTAAAGGTTGTTGTTCCGGACGAGCCTTCTTTTGCTTTTGTGTCGACAGAAATAGCTCACATTGTAAGGGGCTTGAGAATGTGTATCCTCTTTCTCAACATGAAATTTGCATTCACCATTTTTTTGAATAATGTGGTCACAGATTACAGAGGAAAGGGAGTGGTTGGATTGATTGCAAAAGCTTCTAAAGCTTATAAAGTTGTCGATTTCCAGAAGCTCTTCCAAGCCGTGTGTAATATTAGTCCATCCATTGGGAACTATCTAACAAAAGCAGATGTTTCAAAGTGGGCTCGCTATTAGTTTTCAGGCTTCAGGTATTTTGGAGTTAAGGGTATGAACCATATCTCTTTTAGGGTTTAGGGTATGATTCATAGCTACTTTATGGTTTAGGGTATGAATCCAAACTAATTTAGGATTTACGGTATGACTCATAGCTACTTTGGAGTTTAGGGTATGAACCCTATCTCTTTTAGGGTTTAGGATATGATTCATAGCTACTTTAGGGTTTAGGTTATTAACACTATCTATTTTAGAGTTTAGAGTAACCCTATATGATTTAGTTCCTGAAATTAATTCAGAAAAACATTAGCGTAGTAGCAAGGAAAAAAATCCATAACTATAAGAATAATCTAAAAATTCAAAAACCATGTCCAACATGTCAAACAAACAAACTAGAAATCTAACATCATCAAGCAACAAATCATGAACTCAAATTGATAATTTTCGTTGGGGCACGCCTAGGAAACTTAAATGTGGACATTCTAAACTGCAAGACCTCATCGTTTGCTGCTTCCCATAGATCATACGCTAAAATCTTATCTTTGATGTTCTCGTCATTGACCAAAGACAAATCTAAGCCAAATACATGGCACTCTATGAAGTTCAGAGTATAAGCACCACAATCATTACCGCTCTTGTTTAGCGCAGGCATCGGGATGTATGACACATCATACTGTTTGACATTGAAATCTTTCTTCTTATCTGAAGCCTGGACAGCCTTGAAAATTCTTGGAATAATGATGGCGAATGCTTCCACACTATTGGTGTTTTTCCTACCCCTATAGTCAAAAACTTCAATTGTCCGGTTCACAAGATTAACGCAGATTGCTATCCAGTGGTTTTGGTTGCCCCAAATCGGGATGTAGAGACGATCGACATCAACATCGCACACTGAACCTGTGCTTCCATGATATGGAAGATCACCTCTTCCATACTCGAGAAGATTGTCATCAATTTTGTACCCTTTCTTCTTTCCCTGAAAAATGCCGTTGGCCGTGATGATCTGATTACTAAACAAGCAGTCGATAAATGCCACTCGTTTTGCCTTCCATCTACCCAATGTTGTTTTTCCCGAAACAAATACATCATGGCCTCTATGTCCTGAAAAGCAAGCACAAGAAAAAAAAAACGAAAGGAATGAGAACCAACAAGACAACTTAATAATTCTTAGATAAACTTACATAGTTCTTCAGCCACTCATTAGGATCCATTATACGAGAACATGACATTCCGTCAAATGTCGATGGCCCAATCTTAGTCTTAGTTTAAATAGGAGCACTAGAGTGGAATATGACAATTTAATTGAGAAGAACGAAAACAAGTAAATATTACTTACTTGGGGCTCAAGGACCATTCATTTAGTTAAGACCATTTTTCTTTTGGAACAAAAACCAATTTGTAGTCACTGTCTTGGGAACAGACTTTTGGGTCATAAATATCGCTCAAGGAAGGTTGCTTGAAGTTTTTTGGCCGGGAAGAAGTCAAAGGCGTGACAAAATCTTGAGATGGAACAAAAACGTACACTTTTGACTCTTGTGTAAAGTTGCCCATTTTCTTTTGTAGGTGCTCTTGGGTCCCTAAATTGACGCCAAACTTGTCAAATAAGCTTCCAAACACATCAGACAAATCTGCATCCTGTTTATAAAACACAAATATGACATTTCAGTACATCATCCATACATATATATATCACACATTAAAAACATGAAATCTCAGTACATCATCCACACATCAGGACTACAAACCGTCAACAAAAAAACATCATCCTTACATCAATATTACAAAACATTAAACAGGTCATCATTCTTGCACATATTACAAACAACAACAAAAAACAGCATCCTTACATCAACATAGATCTATTTCTTATTTACCTTTCTGTGAGACATTGCCTTAGCAGCACTTGCTGGACCACCACCAGTGTGAGAAGGAGCCGGAGCTGCACTGCGAGAAGTAGCAGGATCTCTCCTGCGACCTTTGCGTTTACGAGCAGAATCAGGAAAACTAGTATCAGTAGTCACCGGAGTAGGATTAGGAGTAGGAGTGAGAGCAGGAGCACGAGTGTCAGTGTCACCGGAGTAGGAGTAGGAGTAGGAGTAGGAGTAGGAGTAGGAGCAGACGCCTTAGTAAAAACCGGAGAAGTAGCAAGAATTTCAGTTGGAGCTGGAGCAGCACCATGAGTCTGACATGAAAGGACCTTCTCCTCTAATTTTGCAAAACGGTCTTCAATTATGTCACGTACATCAAGCGCCAAGGAAGTGAAAGAAGACTTAAACATGTCCTAGATATAGGTCTTCATTTCCTCTTCAAGGTTTCTATATTTATCGGTTGATCTTTGGAAAAGTAACCTCTTCTTCCTTGACTAGGCACCAATATCCTGAAACTTGTTCTTTCTCTTCTTTGCAGGAGACACAGGAGTGGTTGCTATTTCTTCATCAATTTTAGTCGCACTTGTTTCTTCAGCCGCTTTTTCATCCACTTGTTTATCTGAACTATCTTCCTCAGAACTGTACGGAAATGCTTGTACTGATTCCTGATAAGCCCAAACATGCTTACTCCAGTCATACTTATTTCGCTGCATGTCAATGATCAGATCAACTCTTTCATCCTTCATCTCAGAGGCTCGATCAAACTCAGCATCACTAATCACTTCTTTGAAATCTCCAGATGTAGAGATGCATATAAACACCTCTTCCTACAAAACATAAACAATTAAACAAAAGTTAGACACAAAAATTAAGACTTCATGCTAATAATATCCTCATACGAAATCTTAGCAGATCCTTTCCAATTCCTACACCTCATGCTAGTTACGCCTTGTCTGAGTTTCTGACCCAAAAGAGACCCAATGTCTGGAATAGCCTCCATAAACAAAATCTGAAGTGCATATTAGAATCCATCTACAAATAACTATTCTGCGTCTTCCCTTTATCAATAGCGTCAATAATGGAACTCACCAGCGCATCAAAAGAGTGAAGACCCCACAGATATTTCCTCATCTTCTCGAAATCCATCACCAGCTTGATATACTTGTGTGGGATCCACACCTTCTCATCCTTCGCCATAACTATGCCAGCAATCACACACAAGTACACCATCCTCAGCCTATCAACACGAGACCAAGTGTTACAAGATTTCAAATGCACTTTCCTGATTTGCTGTAGGGAAATATTTGTTCCTTTCCTTAGCAACGTACTCCAAAACCCTTTATCATGTACCCAATCATCAATCTCTAAGTCAGGCTCGTCTTTATATTTGAGACCTGTGGTTGCAAAGAATTCTTGCATTGAAAATCTGAGAGGCCGCCTAGCATAAATGAAACAGAACTTACAGTGGATCCAAAATTAGACTCCATGCTAATAATATCCTCATACGAAATCTTAGCAGATTGATATCACTCAAATGTTTAACCCTAAGGAGTGAATTACTCTCTCAAATAATAGGTTCAATCGCAGTACTTAGGGATCGAATCCACAAGGAACTAGAGTCACAGAAGATATAATCCTAAGTGATTAAGCTAGGTTGATTAGGTTTAAAACAATAAATAAAGTTGGTAGCAATGGTAAGGTTCTAAAGAGAATTGTTTTTGGGTTTTAAAATAATAAAAGAAAGTAGCTAGATTCAAGGTTACTATTTCGAAAATCAGGATTATAAATCTATGGATGTCTTAACGAATTGCTTGCAAATATATGAGAACTTCAATCCTTAGACAAATCTATAGCTGTCGCTATTAGACTCTTCCATTGATCTGATTGTCGACAGTATTGATCGATGTTGCTATCGCAGTGTCGATCGATATGTTTTGCCGTCGATTGATGACTTTATAGGAGTATCGATCGATATAGCATCGGATCGAATTGAAACTGTGTTCACCCGAGAATTTCTATCAGACCGCCTATCGCACATGCCTAATAGAGTCCGAGCTTATCCAAATGATTTCAGGATAATGACTATTAGATTAGTCACTCCATAATCATACCTCTAGGTAGCAAATCTAGAGTAAGCATTAGGGTTCATTTGGATAATGAATATAACAACTCAACACTCCATAGTTGGGGCTAATCCTCATAACTATTTGAACCCTAAATCTAACAAATGAATCTACTCAGACATAGCCAAGAGATTCATAACAAAAGAATAAGATGAAAAGAAAATACTTTTATTGCTAAGTATAGAATAAAATACAAAACTAAAACTCAATACTTTCTTGTCTGAATTTTCTTTCTAGGGCTCATAGGCATAACTATAAATATGAGTACAATTAGGTTAAAAACTCGTCAGGGGCAATCTTGTAATTTGGTGAGAACTTGGGCTTCAAGTCGGCCAAGTAAATCTTGCTCATCACGCTCTGTATCGATCGATGGTACACGGTGTACATCGATCGATGGAGTATCTCGACTTCAACTTCTACGGAATCGTCATCGATCGATTACACAAGGTGTGTATCGATTGATATGTGTCTCTCATTGTCAAATCTTCATAGTCATCTTGGAAAACTCTCCTTTAAGCTCCATAAGGCACCTAAATCATCACTTTACTACAAAATGCTCATGAACCTGAAAACATACCTAATAGACTCCAAAACATAGATAATACTTATAAAAACATATAAAAATCATGACCAAAAACGGGTCAAAATCATGGTATATCAACTCCCCCAGACTTAACCTTTTGCTTGTCCTAAACCAAACCTTAAGTTAGTCTTTGAAAGAAGTTTAAAAGCAGCAGGGACTCAATCAAAATCTCAACTTTAAAATCATCACCTCTTACTTTGTTTGCAAGCCACATCTCATATCTATCAACTACAGAAGTACATTATACCATATCCTAGCTTAGCAACCAAATACATCTAGCCAATCAACTTAAACATTCCTTGTCTATCTATCCCCTCTACGGATTTCATTTATGCATAAAAAAAAAGGTGTAGGCTTTACCTTGGTAGTATCGATCAAGGAACACATGGATTTAACTCAAACAAGTTTCAGGCATTCTCATCCTGGTTCCCTTTCTTTCTTTATCCCCCTTCTCTTAATCCCAACTCTTTCTTTCTCTCTTTTTTTATATATCAATCCCAATGAACAACTAATGTTTATCTTATTGATCTTTCTTGAAAAAGTGTAAGCGAATAGTGGGGTCATAGGTAATGTACCTCTCCCTCGTTTGATCATTCCTTTGATTTAGAATAGTGTGGGAACCGAGATTCACACTTATCGATTTCCGTTAAATAAGGAAACTTAGGAAAACCCTAATTTCCCAGAGGAACCGGATCTCTGCGAAAGCCAACGACAAGTAACCAAATAAATGCGGAAAAATATGAAAAACAATAAAACGAATTTATAAAGAAAGTCGATCTTATTTCCGATTCGCGTAAGAGTGTTGCGATCATTACAAGGAATTACAAAGGCTTTGGCCGCAAGGGCCATCAGCGAGTTACAAACATAAAACCCTAGATCTAGTCGAGTCGCAGCTCGATAACGAAAGACGGAAAAAGATGGGAAAAAAAGTTTGATTGATTTCGGACTGAACCTTATGAAAGGCTGTCTACGTACCCCTTTCGGGGATCAAGTCGAACGTAGTTCAGTTGATAGAGCTGGACCAGAGATCGAACTGCCTGGGCGAGTTCGTCTAGTAATTGAGCGCCAGTCATAGAAACCGAACTTGTCGAGAAAAAGCCTAAGTTTCTAAGTGCGGAAAATTCTAAATCTAGAAAAGTTGGGAAAGTCTCAGATGAGAGCTCTGGATTTCGTCCCCTTGATTCTGCCCTATGCCTCTTGCTTATATACTCCCTTCCTAGGCAGTTTAGTCTTTCCGTTTCGCCCATATTCGAGTTTAATGAGAATCTTCCATTTATCTCGATCTTTTCTTTTTTTCCCGCGGTAATCTTCTATTTATCCTCAAACTTGACTTTTATCTTCATGTTTGACATTTATTTTCTTTCTGCGAGTAAATCGCCAAAACGTCGTCGTATCTTCGGGTTGGACTTCCTTTAAAGTCGCGAGTGGCTTTTATCGCGTTTTATGACTTTCCGAGCCGTTTTGCGATAGATCCGTTTTACGACTTTAGACGAGATCATTTCTTGATACGATGCCGTTTTTAGATAAGTTTCACGAGTTAATCGTAAAGCTAAACAATGTTTGATGTTTCGATTAATCGTTGCCGTTTTCTACGATTTACTCGGGGTTTTATTAAAAATGCGTTTTGTACGATTTTTACGAAAAATCTCGAATAAATCGTATAATTTAGGCAATATTCGGTGTTTCGTTTAACCGTTGCCGTTTTATACGATTTCCTCGAGTTCTTTTCGAGAAAACAAAGTTTTACGGTTTTTATCGTAAAACTCGAACGATAGGGTGGATCGAGACGAAACGGGATACATTTCGACCGTGATTAGGAATACGATCGTCTCGAGGGACGCATGCCTCGAACCAAGGATGTGGGAGATCGAGGCTCGGGATGGTCGGCTCGACGTACGGCGAGCTAGTTCAGCTTGGCCAGGTCGCCATATGGCGAACTAGGCGAAAAGAACCAGTGGGGCAAAGTCAGTAGTTCACCCATGGGCGAACTAGTCGAGCATCTCCTAGTTCGCCCATCGGCGAACTAAGCCGGGCCAGCTTAGTTCGCCGATGGGCGAACTAGTCGAGTGTCTCCTAGTTCGCCCATTGGTGAACTAAGCCGGGCCAGCTTAGTTCGCCGATGGGCGAACTAGTCGAGTATCTCCTAGTTCGCCCATCGGCGAACTAAGCCGGGCCGGCTTAGTTCGCCGATGGGCGAACTAGTCGAGTGTCTCTTAGTTCGCCCATCGGCGAACTAAGCCGGCTTGGCTTAGTTCGCCCATGGGCGAACTAGTCGTGACTAGTTCGCGTTTTACGGCTGTTTCGGTTTTTTGCGGTTTCTTAAAACGATTCTCGATTTTTATAAATCGATCTTCGAGTTTTATAAAATGATTCTTCGAGTTTTATAAAATGAATCTTCGAGTTTTATAAAATGATTCTCGAGTTTTATAAAACGATTCTTTGAGTTTTATAAAACGATTCTCGGGTTTTATAAAACGATCTTCGAGTTTTATAAAACGATTCTTCAAGTTTTGTAAAACGATTCTTTGAGTTTTATAAAACGATTCTCGAGTTTTATAAAACGATTCTCGAGTTTTATAAAACTGCTTCTCGAGTTTTATAAAACAATCTTCGAGTTTTATAAAACGATCTTGGAGTTTTATAAAACGGCTTCTCGAGTTTTATAAAGCGATCCTCGAGTTTTATAAAACGATGTTCGAGTTTTATAAAACGGCTTCTCGAGTTTTATAAAACGATCCTCGAGTTTTATAAAATGATCTTCGAGTTTTATAAAACGATCTTGGAGTTTTATAAAACGGCTTCTCGAGTTTTATAAAACGATCCTCGAGTTTTATAAAATGATCTTCGAGTTTTATAAAACGGTTTCTCGAGTTTTATACAACGATCCTCGAGCTTTATAAAACGATCTTAGAGTTTTATAAAACGGCTTCTCGAGTTTCATAAAACGATCCTCGAGTTTTATAAAACGATCTTCGAGTTTTATAAAACTGCTTCTCGAGTTTTATAAAATGAGCCTCGAGTTTTATAAAACGATTCTCGAGTTTTATAAAACGATTCTTCGAGTTTTATAAAACGATTCTCGAGTTTATTAAAATGATTCTTCGAGTTTTATAAAACGATTCCCGAGTTTTATAAAATGATCCTCGAGTTTTATAAAACGATTCTCGAGTTTTATAAAACGATCCTTGAGTTTTATAAAACGATTCTTTGGGTTTTATAAAACGATTCCTTTTATATTTTTGCGGGGAGTTTCGGCCGTTGATTCTGATTTTGACCCCAACAGTTAGCCCCCCAGCTCGTGAGAATCTTGAGCTTTTAGCGTAAGGTTCTTGCGAGTGGTTAACCAGTTTTAGTTAAGTTAGGCGGAATTAATGGTCGGAAAGGTCCGCTGAAAGTGATCTTTCCACTTTCCAGGGAGCGGAAAGCGTTTAAAATTAGGGCTGCGCCTTGTGAAGGCTGCCTACGTACCCTTTTGAGGGGATCAAGCCTTTCGTAGTTCGTTTCGGAGTTAAAGTTCGTATGACCTGTTTCCCAGGAAGACCTTTACGGTCTAGTTATATGTTTATCGAGCATATTGATGTCGATGGCATCTTGACCTTTTCCGGCCTTGAGACTAGCCTCGTAGGCCGTTTGGTCTGGCTGAGTGTGGCCGTTATAGTTTTCGGACTGGCCGTGTGCGGCTCTGAGTCCCTGCCGCTTTTGCGGCTTTATTAAATATCAGTTTGCGTTTTTAAGAGCGTGTTTTTATTCGTATGAATGTAGCGGGAAGATTATGAGTTGA